TTAAGAACGTCAATTAACCTAACAATGTTGATGCCACCTACTCAAATCATCCATGTTGATTCCTCACACATGAAATTCATAAGAAAACCTAATAAATGTTGATTCCTCACACAATTAAGAGATTTCCCAGCATTAGGTTTAGGGTGTTAAGTAATTGATACATTCATTCCATTCATGGCAATTAACGTAACAAATATTCTTACCGTGATCTAGGGTTCAAGATATATTTTCCAATCATACCTCAAACATTAAGAATAAATCATTCCAAAGCATAAAGGATAAGAATAACAACATCAAAGCATAGATTAATATCTCAAAATATCACCATGATATAAAAGAGTTCAAAGGAAGTGCATCGAATCCTAAGAGAATGAAGTTAGCCACTCATGTTGGCCATTACAATGTTCCAGATGTGGAAAAAGTGAAGAATTGATGAAGATTGGACGAAACTCTAGCAGTAGTCACACCTCTTCTCCTCCAAAACCGTTTCCTTTTCTCAAAACACATCTTATCTTTTTATAAGAGAATTTTGGTCAGACCTCGCATCATTCATTCGCTTAAGCGTTCTTCTTTCTTTCAATTTTTCTCTAATTATGCTGACAATTATACTCCTTAATTACTCTTGTATCAAGGTATTCTCGAATTCATCCTATATTGGGAGAAAAATATATTAGAATTAACATAAGTTAAATGATTTCATAACAATTTAAGACATAATTATATCAACTTTTTACTACTTAACATTGACCTATAACCACCTTTCTTAGATACATGAGTCTGTAGTGCTTGATGGTCACTTGGCTTCCCTGCCTCTCTTTCAATTAATCTCAGCTTGTGTGCCTCTAAGCACCTTGAAGCTCTTTCACCTTCAATTCTTTAATTTTCTTGAATTCTTCAATGGACTCAAGATGTGATCAAATTTGGATTCATTACTTTCCATTTGCTTCAACTCATATTGACACCTCATCATTTGTCGCCTTATTCTCTTCAATTTCTTCATACCTTCACTGCATTTCTCCAAAATCTCCCATGTCTCCCATGAATTGTACCTCCTCCAACCTTCTCAAGATGGGTTTCATCAACACATTTGATGAATAAGAAAGGTTGTTTTACAATCTTTCTTCTTGTTTTGGTTGTAAAGAGTCTTATATATGCCTATGTGAAACTTTTATCCAGCACTAGAAATTCATCTTCAAATATATCTACAATTTCTTAATACACAAGAATTGCCTTCATCTATACACCTATTTGTCCCACTTCTTTCCATTGAAAATTAGCAAATTAGTTAAAAATGCACACAATCTCATCTAAACTTTGCTCTGGATACGAGTTGTTAGAGCAAAAGGGAGAGAAACAAATATCACACGAAAACTATATTCTTTGAATTGGTGAATATGGGATACCATTTATGTAGATATATATAGAGTATTTATAGAAGATGATTTAGAAGAAAAAAACAAAAATAACTGTTTTATTTTGAATTATATCCTAACACAAAATATAAAGAGATATGAAAAATGATTTTGAATTAGAATAGATTAGAGTCATTTCAATTTATTTTTTTACTATAAACAATGTTTTCTCATTAATTTTTTTATAAATTTAAAACATGCTTGAATTAATTATGAGATATATCATAAAATTATAACTTAAAATTCTACTGTGAGATCTGGAAAATGATTTTTAAAATCGAACACGATAAAATTTATTCAATGGGTTAAGATTCTAGAAATATATTTTAATATATTGATTATTTATTACATGAGACTTAATACATAACTATTTGTTAAATAATTACGCAACTATGTTTATAAATATTCTTATATCTTATTAACAAAGAATTATTATAAGAATCTATTAAAATCATGTTGCAAGAATATTAAACTTGAAAAAAAATATTATTTTTATTTATAAATGATTCAATGCAAATTATTTTTAATTCTATATTTTATTTATTTATTTATTTTCTTTTAAAGTTAATTATTATCCACAAATTAACTATAAAAACTAGAAATAACAATTAATAGAAAAGGTAATAATTCTTTGAGAAAAATATAACTTTTATATACTCTTTTAAAAACTACAATGATCTTTAATACACTTGCTAAATTAAAAAATAAAAAATAGCTTGCATCTTTTTAATTTAATAATGTTCGAATGTTCATTCATGATTCTCACGAAATCAAAATAAAAATTAATTTATATATAATATTTTCTCTCAAATCATGAAAAACACCTAACGAAATTGTACCTAACGAAATTATGATGTACAAGAATTTTAAAACAAATAATACCTTAAATATACAAATTGATCCTAATAATATTATCATAAACATAAAATTAGAACAATCTTATTCTCATACGGAACAAGTAGTGTTATTCTTTTAAGCATGAGATTCAAATGTTGTTGTGAATGGAACGTAGAAACCACTTCTTGCATAACAAACATGGTTTAAAAGGAAGGAATAGAATGTGTTTGACCTAAACACTGTATTTATTTATTATTTTAAAGAATAATTTTTATAATTAATGTGTGTTTAGTTAATAATAAATTCTTGTTGACAAAATAAAACGAGAAATTTTTTTTTATTGAAACTAGAAACAATTGATAAGCAATAGTAATTGAATTCAATCTCAAACTTGAATTTATTAATTTAATTTAATAAAAAGAGAGTTTAATTGGGCATTTATAGACTCGCAGATGAATAATCAATGGATATGTTAACTTATTATTTACGATCTTTAAAATGTATTTGGAGATCAATAGGAAAGATAGATAATATAGCAGATTTCATAAATAACAACTAAAAAAAATACATTTTATTCGTCAGAAAAGTGTAAAAAGTAAAGAGGAAATAAATTCTCAAGATTAAATAAGGCTTTTCTTGTATGCAAGAGAATAATTTATTGCGTAAAATATAATATTTATTCTTATTATTTTTTATTTAAAAACATACGAAATAAAATGACGTAAGTTTAAATTAAAGTAAGTTGGTAAACTATTTGAAAATTTTTAATTACTTCATTAAATTAAAAGGACAATCTATGATAGTTTTTCAATCTTTTAGGGACACAATAATTTTATTTTATTAGAAGGATCCAATCACATTTTTAAGCAAAAATTCATTAATATAAATCTTAAAGTTATTACAATGTAAGAATGTTAAACTTGAGATACGAGTACATATTTAAACAAACTAAATTAAAATGACAACACAGAGAACCAATATTCATATGTTAAGAACATATTGTACCATGCAAAAGTATAAAAATATATAAATACATGGATATAGGTATATAAGAATATATAGTGACACGTGTGAGTGTTTATTGTGATGAGATGATGAAAGTGTTGAATGTTGACCAAAGAATAATATTGAAATGAATAAAATTAAATTTCATTAAAAGAAAAACATGTGTTAATGTTATAATATTGACCATATTATTTTTTAAATATATAATAAGTATTTGAAATCATTGATAAGTTATTTATAAATATAAATAATCACCCAGTCAATGATAATTATATAATCAGTTACTATACTAATTAAGTGATGAGTTTGTTACTTTTTTTTTTTTTAATTTAGAGATATCTCCAAACCCTTGTATGATTACAAAATGATGACCACAAAAACTGAGTATGTTATTGCAGTGGTTCACAAAGTTCTCTGCATATTGCAGCCAAGAGTTATTATCACAATGAAATGTATGCATATTTGGATGAACATTGGTTCTATCATTTCTCTGAAACATAGCAGTTCAGTGTTGTTTCATTCCATTAACGTTTTCTGCCTCTGATTTTTGACATAGTTTTAGAATTATGTTTTTCATGCATCCAATGTTTCCTATGTTTTTCATTTACGAATTGCAACTTCTCATGCACCATTTTTAACCAAAATAATTGTTTTTTTTAATCTGTTGTAGTTCTAAGACTTTTGATTATGATTAGTAACCCTCATAAACTTTTTAACATTATTTTAGTATTTTTTTTCTCAATAAATTTAATTTAAAAAAGTTTTTTTTTCTTTTCTAACAAACTTTATTTATCTCTCAACATAATCATATTGACAAAGTTTTGAGATACTAATGAACTACTTCCATGGATAAAAAACAAAATCGTGATCAATTTTATTGTAAAATTTATAAAAATAATATATATATATATATATATATATATATATATATATATATATATATATGTGTGTGTGTATGTTATTTGACTGCAATTTTGTTTTTTCTTGACTTTCGAAAATATATCGTCTCCTTAAATTTATCTCTTAAAAAATATTGTTGAAGATTATTAATTTAAATGATAATTAGGATTATACTTATAATTTTTTTTAATTAATTGACCATCTACAAATATTTATTTATTCAAGTCAAACTCTCGTGTATTTATTATATAAATGTTTAAATTATTTATATAAATTAACTCTTAATTAATACTTTACGTGATAAAAAATTAAAAATTATTTGTATTGTTTTTAATTTTTTTTCGGTGTTAATAGGCTTTTTCTTTCTCAATAACTATTTATCATTTTAATTTCTTCAATTATATACGTTTATTTTTCATATTTTTACATCTTTTAATTCTATTGGTGGGTGTAGAAGTAGGTATTCTCCATTTGAATGAAAATTTTTATGTTTGATATATATGATGTGTGCGAAAACTCCTAAAGTCAGCAATAATAATAATAATAATAATTATAAATAGTCTCTTGTCTAGAGTTTTTTTTTTTTTTTCAATCCCAATTTTATTGTGGGTTGACTTTACATGATGAAAAAATTTATTAATGGACCCACAAATAATCTTTCTACAATACACTTCACCATTATTCAACCATTCTCCCTCTAATGCCCATATGAAGCACGAAGCACACTAAGATAAATTGACAAAAGTTTCAAAGTGTGTTGTTAACTATCATTTCTCTTCTTTGTTTCCCTCTTTAAGAATTATGTGTTGAAATTTTTTTATGTTGAATTTTTAGGGGTCTGAAAATATGGGAAGCATTGCAGATATTAGGGTTGATACTTCAATTGGGGGAAAATCCAAGGAAGGGAGAAACATCAAAGATGATGTTCAAGCTACTACTAAAGAAGGTTCAAGATTTTGGAAGAAATTGAAGATTTTTCTAGGTTGCATGCTTTGGATTTCCAAAGGGGAAGGTTCCTCCAACAAAGTCAATCGAGGTTCACACTTTTTCTTGTTTCAATTAATTTTTTTTTAATAAACGTTTATATTGAATTATTTAATTCGTAATTTGGACAGGTATTTAAAACACTTAGTTGACTCCATTTTATTTTCTTATTTCTCTCAAATCATATCACTTATCATATTCATAGTTCTCTTTTTCTTTAGGCTTTAATATGCATTGGGTGTCCACAAAGTACAAAATCTTTTTCAAAAGAACCAACTTAAAAAAAAAATCAATCTTTTCTCAATATAAGTTGAACAAAATCTACATAGATTTTGTATACGTATATATTAATTTCATTTCTTATGAAATAAATTGAATGTACAATTTTTATCCTCTTTGAGATTACAAAATTTGACTTACTTGGTTTTCCTTACTAAATTTGCTGTGATATATTTCCTCTCAAATCAACAGGAAGAGTTGTTACCAATGATATTGATCATAGATGCCGACCAAAAATTCAAAGATCCTCATCCAACACAAGGTTAAGTAGCAATCGAAGATCTTGTCCCGACCAAGAATTAATTGTGGCTTCTTTGCTTCTTCGAAGGTTTACCTTTCACGATCTTATGTTGGCAACGAGGTCTTTTAAGGTTGAGAATTTTTTTGATGAGGAAGGGTTTGGAATTTTGTTGAAAGGTTGGATTAATCCATATGGCAACTATGCAGCAAGACCTGGAATAGGGATTCCCATAGCAGTAAAAGCACTTAACTTCAATGGACTTCAACATCACAATGAATGGCTTGTATGTCACCATGCTAACCCTAACTATATATATCTTATTTCTTTATTTGTTACTTATTTATTTACTTTGTACCACTTTTCATTACAACCTATTCTAAAATATTTTCATTGTTTCATGCTTTTTGCAGGATGAAATTAGTTATCTCAGTGAACTCAATCATCTAAATCTGGTTAAAATAATAGGATTTTGCATTGAGGATGACAAAAGACTACTAGTACATGAGTATATGAGTCAAGGGAGCTTAGAGAAGCATCTTTTCAGCAGTATGTTCTAATGTACCAAATAATCCATTATTTGAGTTATTTTTTTAGTTGTTCTTGTGTGGTTTTTCTTTTCAATCTTTATATTTTTATTACTCTTGTTACTTGTTGCTCCAGTTAACTTGAATATTTTTTTTATAATAAAAATATGTTCTTTAAATTCATCCCTGTTATTTTTTTGTGATTTTCACAAAAAATTACATTGTCATCATTATTTTACCTCTTTACAAAAAATACATTCCTTCTTCTTCATCTTTTTTCCTCACACACCAATTAATTGTACATTAAACTACATTCCATCTTTGTCTTTTACCTTCGATTCTATATTAAATATATGCTAGCAAAGGTGATTCATTGAAGTTTCACATAGCACTGTTTTTATATTTATCCTTCATAACTATTTTTCCATTTCTTATCTAACATGAATAAAAAGGTCTCACATGTAATATAAAATGCACACATTATATCCTCTCTATTAAGTTTCACATTACTTTTTCTTAAATTATCTTAAGTGTCTATTTTTAAATATCTATACAAAATGAGACTTTGATCATTTTACAAACTATCAAATAATGTCTCTTGCTTGTGTTCTCCATTATACATAAGTCAATCTTACATTATTTTTTTTTTCAAGGATTCATAACTACTCATTGTTTTCTCCCTTTCAAAAAAAATGTTTGAAATCAAATAAGTGAATTTATTAACTATATTATTACTATTACTATTATTATTATTATTATTATTATTATTATTATTATTATTATTATTATTTTCACTTCAATCAACTTCTCCTTAATTTGAAATCCTAAACCCACTGGTTATAGATCTAAAACCCGATATTTCCTATTATCTCTCTTTTTTATTTTCAAAATTTAAGAATTAATCTATCATGAATATTCACTAGACACTCTCATCTCATCTATTGTATAACCAAAATATAGTTTTTGTTTGAGTGGTTGATTATTCTACTTTCCCTCCCTCTTACACACACTCACTTTTTTTCAAGACTAGTTCAGATGAGTGCAATATAGATGAGTGAAAGGATTTAGGTTTGTTGCCCTTGTATTGAAAGTTTTCCAACCGGATTTTCATAAAAATGTGCATCATTATTATAAATGACAATATAAATAAGAATCATGGTTGAAATATTCATAATTAAGAAACATATTTGTTTGATGAGATATGCTAATGTAAAAGAGATTCATAGTTGAAGAAAAGATTATTAGAGTTCAAGTATAAGTTAGAGGGTCACGTTATATAAAAATGAGAAAGACTAAGAAACATATAGTCTTAAAGTTTTGAATTAAATAAAATATCATTTATTTTATGTGATTAACTTATGGTCCAGGAATGAATATCTCTCATTTGTCTCTTCACTCAAATTGATCAATACCCTTCACTAAATTGTTCAATAAAGTTTATTAGGTCTTTTAATCCTCAACCTTGATGGCTCATCGAATTACACACAATTAAGAAAAAAAAAATTAGTGATATGAAAATTAAGATTATTAAACATATCCTCCCAATAAATGATAATTACTTTTCCTTTCATATTGTCAACTTCTTTACATACTTAGGAGTTTTAACTTCTCTAAAATATTTATTAATCTCTCTGTGTTTTAATTACTTTTGGAGAAGTTAATTTTGAGTCTCGATGGGAGTTCAAAATACCACATGATACTTTTAGGTCATTTTCATATTCTAGGAATTTAACTTCCATAGACTCACCACATAACTTCTGAATATACTGTAAGAAAATACTGTTAGAAAATACACCTTATCTTAGCTAATAAGAGTATTCTACATCGATTATTCATGAATAATCTCATCTCACCTAATCAAGATGGGACAAGGCGATTCATAATGACCCACAAGAGCATGACATTGTGGTGGTACATGGTAGTGTGGTTAAGCATAGGAGTGGGGCGTGGTGTGGCAATGTGATAGAGCATGACAGTGTGGCGCAAAAGAGGCATCATGGTATGTGTTAAGTCTCCTGAAGTTCAATAGAGGAGGAGTGGAAGCAAATGATGTAGTAAATGAATACTGAAAATGACTTACAATCAACAATAATTCTCAAAAAGAGCAGAGGGTACTGCTAGAGGAGACTTGTATGAGTAGATGAGTTTGTATGTTGAAAATGATTTTATACATCGTAAAATAATGTTGTAATAATGATGTCCATTATTTTTGTTGTCTCTCTTATCAAACTATTTAATTTTTTTTGTCACCCCCTTAAGACCTACCTTTTTTTTCATCTTGAAAACACTTGTAAAGTTTCCATTAATAAGAATAGATATAGTTTAAGAATACAATTATTAGATTTTTTTTTTTGTTAGTGAAACTAAAAACATATATTTATATAAAGGTATAAATAGTACCATTAGTTACAACAAAATAAAACTAGTGCGTCTAATGGATTCGACAACAAGATACAATATCGAGATATAGATGACCCGATATAGAAAATGGAATGGCGACAAAATTATAACTAATAGAGATTTTTTTTATTGGTTATTATAACAACTGATGTAGTATCCTGACATAGGAACCAATGTAAAATCCTATATAATATATTGGTTACTTTAGTAACCGATTTAGAAACCTAGTTTTTACATCTCACACCCACCAATTTCACACATTATTTTTGTTTGTCTTCTTTGCAAACTCACACAACCTGCCATTGTCACTGCACTATGACGTACATTATTTTCAACGACCTACAACCACCAGTTGTCACCGCGAGCCGCCACTGAAAGTTGTCAGTGGTGCGAGTTGCTAGAAAAAGTTATAGTCTTATTGCTACATCCAAAGCAATTCCACCACTCTATAAATGCTTCACCTTATTGCGCTCTTATTTTGACATTGTTATAGACCTATTTTACCACTACTTTGCACCTGTTTTGTCATTGTCAATAGTAGCAGTTTGACAACAACAAAGAAGACCACCATCATAGTATCCATACATCCTCGAGCCACCACCATAACACCCACACCTCCACGAGTCAACTCGTAACATTTAGGATATCTATGAGCCCCTATCAAAAGTTGTTACCACTGCAAGCTACTAGCAAAAACTTTAGTCTTTATCAACCAACACAATGTTAGTGTTTTTGCATTACTTTGTCATTCTTACGCATTTGTTCCAACTCTGCTTTGCACTTACTCCACCACTGCCATTGATGACAGTGAGACCATCTTCGTAGTACCCACACATCCTCGAGTCACCACCGTAGCATTTAGGATATTCGCAAACCACCATTGTAGTAGGATGAACCTCCATGAGTTGCAACGCATCTATCAACCTTTCAAGTAAGCTTTTTACATTGATTATTGTGGAACTTATGTAGAAAATGATTCACTTTCAACATCTTTTGATTCTACATCAATTATGAAATCAATGTAATACGCATTGAATAATTGATGTTAAAGGGTTTCTCCTATTAATGATATATTGATATTAAAATAGAGTATTTCTATTTGTTGTCTCATAACAAAATATTAGAATCACATCAATGTAAAAAGAAGTTAAATCCACTCCAATTAACATATTCTGATAGCCAAAAGACACAAATCACTTTAATATAACATTAGTATAATAAGTAATCGAATGCCATATTTGTATACCTCATACTTTTTCATGATGAGAATATATGCATCAACTCATGGAGGTTAAACTATTTTCTCTAAAAATACACTAATTTTTGTGTTGTGATATGCACCATTGTATAGCATACCATAAAACATATGATTTATCATCACTACTCTTAATACACATAAAGGATGGAAATTATAAGAAATACATTTAGGAATATCCTATGGTAGAACAATGATAATTTTAAGTCATCTAAAGTAGGAAGTTCGCATCTCAATACTTAAGCGAACAAAATATGTATTTTTGTTTTCTAGATTTATTGATAGAACGAATATAAAAGATTATCCCCGATAAATATTTTTCTTCCTCAAATTACTCCTCATAGGGAATCTTGCCTATGGAACTCTCCAAATGAAGTAAACTACTTGAACATGATTATGATCCACCAAAATTGGTCAAACACATCAACTGTCATATTTCACACTTTCAGTTTATAAATGATTTTATATATTGGTTTTATAAAAAATTGTCATTCTGGTTTTTTCTTTCCATCTCCATTTACCTTAACATATTTCTTTTAACACATTTCCTTTTAGATTCTATAGAAAATTATTCACCAAGTTTGTCTTTCATTCAAAACAATTATAGCATTTTAAGATTTCATTTCCAATAACCTGCATTCTACTAGTCCACACTTTTGATGTCTAATTGTTGTTGTGTAAAATCTAGATATTGTTTGTTATACATCTACCATATCAACATCTTTTCAAATCACTTTAAATTGTTATTTTCTCCATAAACCTTTCTTAGATTTTTCTACCAAGTAAATCCATGTATCCACCATAGTGGCGGACCTATATATATATATAAGAGTGTACAAGTGTACCTCTGATTTTGTTAAAATTATATATTACTAAGTATCTAAAATTTCTTTATTTCCCCCCCCCTAATCTTATATATTTGAACTTGCTGGTTGTTGCTCTATGATAGATATGTATGTAATTAAGAGTATACAAATACACCACTTGATTTCAAAAGTAAATTGTCTCCCCTGACACAGGGTCTTAGATTCGCCACTGATCTACCATATTTGGATTTCAACCCATAGGGAATGTGACTCTCATGAAACATGGTTCATATTCATTTTGCTAACAAAGCATCATTAAACATGAAGATATCTTTTAGACCTAAATCTTTTGGATTCCTTTGTAGCATAATTTCTCTTATCTAACCCATGCAATGTTACAATTTGACTCTCCACTCTCTCTAATGAACCCCTTTCAAAGGGATGGTCTTGTTACAAAATTGTTTAGGTATCTTCTAGAATAATAAGAATAATAAAATCAATGTGGTAAGTATCAATTTGTTGGGTACCAGAGGGGAAAAGAAATCTTCATCTGCGGAAGCACATACATGAGAGAAACAAAAATAGAGAAATAAACTCAGAGATTAATATGGTTTGACACTTTTTGCCTATATTCACTAACACACTCAACAACTCTTCATTTCTCAACTTGCAATTTTTACAAGGACAAAATTGCAAAGTCTCTCATACAATTTTTGCACAGAAAAATTGCAAACCCTCTCTTGACACACAACTAACCAAGTCCCCAATACACCAAAAGACTAATGTTGTTATGGTGAGTATACTCAAACTATCACCTCTTATTTATAGTAGTAGTCTACCACTCCCCTTCTTCAAACTACTCAATGTGAGACTTTGGAGGATACCCACATACTTTGGGCACAGCATATCCTCCCTTCATCCAAAGTCTCACATTAATCCATCATCATGACAGACCACATTTACAAAAGGGATACTCTTCTTTTCCTTCATGCATTTCAAGTCCTCCTTGAATTCTGGACATTTGACTTGAATGTGACCAAACTCTTCACAGTAATGGCACTGAACAATACTCATATCTCTCGGCTGGAATCTTTTACCATGTTGATCACCATACTTCTTTCCTTGCTCGCTTTTAACTAGCAGTATCTGACTGTCTTTAGACGATTTATCACCACCCATCATTTGTTGACTCTCTTTCAATGTCCTTATCACCTCATCAAATAGAGGAACATCTAAATTCATCATAGTCATAGCACCCCACTGGCCCACGTACTGCTTCTCTTCCTCCCTGCCACACTATTTCTCTTCCTCCCTAGCACACTATTTCTCTTATGATGTGGAAGATCAGATAATGCTGCAACCACAGAGCATACTAAGAATTAAAAATCCCATAGAGCCCCACCACACCAACAGCTTTGATACCACTGTTGGGTACCAGAAGGGAAAAGAAATCTTCACCTGCGGAAGCACACACACGAGAGAAACAAAGATAGAGAAACAAACTCAGAAATTAACGTGATTCAGCACTTCTTGCATACATCCACTAACACACTCAACAACTCTTCATTTCTCAACTTGCAATTTTTACAAGAACAAAATTGCAAACCCTCTCATACAATTTTTGTACGAAAAAATTGCAAACTCTCTCTTGACACACAACTACCCAAATCACCAATACACCCAAAGACTAGTGTTATTATCGTGAGTATATCCAAATTATCACCCCTTATTGATAGTAGTAGTCTACCACTTCCCTTCTTCAAACTACTCGATGTGGGACTTTGGAGAATACCCACACACTTTGGGCACAACATATCACAATTTGATGACACGCATCCTTCCAATAAAATATAACATCTTATATTTCCACGTATCTAACTTCTTAGACAATTTTATAATAATACTCTATCACATCCTCTTCTTCCTTAGATTTACATTAATTGAAATTATAAAATACTTAAATATTTTCAACTTATATAATAAGAATTCCTACAACACTAAGTCATATGCTCTTTTATAGCCAACTTTTCTAGCCATCATCATATTATATATAGTTGATTTCTAACAATCAAGTCGTTTTGTCTCTTACCAATGTGATATGAATCTCAATTACACAAGGGGTAATTTACGATCTTTAGGATTAGAACCTTGTAAGAAATTTAGGAATTAGAAAGAAGGTGGAAGGAAAGAATCACTCTTCCCAAGGGAGGCAACACACAAAGGATGTGAAAGTCCTTTGATACAGCCAAAGGTTCTTGAATCACTCAAGAATTTAGGAGAATCACTCTCACTAAGATAAAAGAGAAACTCTAATAGTTCTGAATAAAATTTCACTTGTTATTTCTTGATAAAAATGGTTCAGCTGATATAGAAGCGTTGTCATCAGAATTACAAAGACTCAATAAAAGAAAATAAATACTAATAATAACTCATTAATCTAGGAATTGAAAACTATTTAATGGAAATAAATAAAGGCTAATAATGATCCATTAACCTAGGAATTGAAACTACTTAATGATTGATTGTATCTGAAATTGTGACAACCAAAAGTCAATCAGCTATGCACCCCTTGGTCTCCCAAAGGCTGATGACTAAATTTTCAATTGGACCCTTATTACAACTTAAAACAAAATCAAACTAAAGCCCATTAATTGATTAATTCAAAACATAATTTGGTCAACCAACAATATTTGTTGAAGAGTTTCCTTTATTTCCCTTGCTCTAGCCCTTATCATAGGTCATGTTCACATCATTCTCTCCCTCTTGAAAAGGATTTGTCTTCAAATCGGATTTGTCATCTACATAAAAAAGAGATAAGTCTGACAAATTGAATATAAAATTAATATTATACTCATTTTTTATGGCTAAATAGTTCTTCCTCACTTCAAGTGTTTCACTCTTCCTTTGATCACTTTTTTTCCTCTTAAGTGTTTCACTAACATTTTCTTTCTCTCTCTTTTCTTGAAGAAGTTTTTCTCTCATTTTCTTTTATCCTCACACATTTCTTATGAACTCAAAGGTTTGAGCACAATTTTCTTGTCTTGGTGCATGAAAGAGATCTTATTGGTGAACCCGTTATGATTAACTCTTTTATCAAATTGTCATGGTCTCCCCAAAAGTAAGTGACTGACTTCCATAGGAATAATATCACAAAGCACCTTATCATTGTATTTTCCAATGGAAATGTCCACTTCAACTTGTTGTCTCACTTGCACCTCTACATCCTTACTAAGTCATTGAAGTTTATATAGCCTAGGATGTGGTTTGGTAGCTAAATTTAGCTTTGATACTAATTTAGCACTAGCCACATTGGTGCAACTACCTCCATCTATGATCATCATACACACTTTGTCATTGATTAAACATCTAGTGTGAAAAATATTTTTTCTTTGGCTTTCCTCCATAGGTTTCAATTGACTATCAAGTAATCGTCTAATCATCAATAAATCTTCCTTTGGAATCTCCTCCTCCTCAATGTCTTCACTCTTTTCTCCCTCTTCAACCTCAAATTCACTTATATATTCTCCCTCTCTAAGAACCATGGTTTTTGTGTTAGGACACTCATAAGAATAGTGTTCTAGGCCTTGACACTTAAAACATTTCACATCTCTACTTTTTTATAGGGTTGTTCTTCATATTTTGAATGAGTCTTTGTAGGAATAGGTGTGGAACTACTAGAAGTAACAGTCTCATATTTCTTGCCTTTGTCCTTCCAACTTGAAAATCCAAAGTTGGTAGAACTCTTCTTAGTCATTTCTTTTCCTTTGAGTTGTTACTCCACTCGAATTGTTTTATGAAGTAAATCCTCCATATCAACAAACTCCTGCAACTCAACAATATCACATATATCAATATTCAAACCACCAATAAATCGGGTCATAGTTACTTCTTCATCTTCTTCAATCTTTGCTTGAATCATAAGCATGTCCATTTCTTTGAAATATTCTTCAACCCCCTTGTTGCCTTGAGTAAGTTTTTGGAGTTTAAATTTCAAGTCCCTTGCATAACTAGCCGGCATATATCGCTTCATCACGATCCTTTTCATCTCAGTCCATGTATCAACCATTGGTTCTTCATTTCTATCTCTCTCTTTTTGTAGTTTGTTCCACCAAACAAGAGCATAGTCAGAAAATTTCATTGTTGCAAGTCTCACCTTTTGGGTCTCCTCATAATTGTTGCATGAGAAAACATGCTCTATTTTCATCTCCCACTCTAAGTATGCTTCCAGATCACTTTTTTCTTTGAACGGAGGAATGTTAAGTTTGACTCTTTCAAGCCTACTTGGTCTTGTTACTCCATCATTCATTCTCCTATTTCTTCTTTCTTCTTCGTCTTCAGGATTTCTATTCTCCAACCGGATTCAATCTTTCATGGAGCTCATTGTTATGTCGTATCATTAATCCTTCCAAATATTGTACCAATACTCTCATTTGAAATGGACTAATTCCTGCTTCTTGATTGTAATTTTCCTCTTCTTCCATCAATTTGATGTTTAAACCCTTAAACCAGAGCTCTGATACCAAATTATATGAATCTCAATTACACAAGGGGTAATTTAGGATCTTTAGGGTTAGAACCTTGTAAGAAATTTAGGAATTAGAAAGAAGGTGGAAGGAAAGAATCACTCTTCCCAAGGGAGGCAACACACAAAGGATGTGAAAGTCCTTTGATACAACCAAGGGTTCTTGAATCACTCAAGAATTTAGGAGAATCACTCTCACTAAGATAAAAGAGAAACTCTGCTAGTTCCGAATAAAATTTCACTTGTTATTTCTTGATAAAAATTGTTCGATTGATATAGAAGCGTTGTCATTAGAATTACAAAGACTCAATAAAAGAAAATAAATACTAATAATAACCTATTAATCTAGGAATTGAAAAATATTTAATGGAAACAAATAAAGGCTAATAATGATCCATTAATCTAGGAATTGAAACTACTTAATGACTGATTATATCTAAAAATGTGACAACCAAAAGTCAATCAGCTATGCACCCCTTGGTCTCCTAAAGGCGGATGACTAAATTTTCAATTGGCCCTTATTACAACTTAAAACAAAATCAAACTAAAGCCCATTAATTGATTAATTCAAAACATAATTTGGTCAACCAACAATATTTGTTGAATAACTTCCTTTATTTTTCTTGCTCTAGCCCTTATCATAGGTTATGTTCACATCATGACTCTTAAATAATACCCTACAAGTCTTTCAACCACAAATTTTGTCACAATCTTAATATACATGCATTTCATCATATGCAAGTAGTGGCAGGACTTCTTGAAAGATTAGGGATTATGACATCCAAAGTTTTGTAAATTACATATATTTATTTATATATTTATAATTTTGATCTCTCACGTTTGTATATTCTTAGTTGGATTCTTGCATGTAAAAAAATAAAAAAGATAAATTATTTCTATTGGAAACTATTTCATTAGTTTCATAATAACTCCTTTGAATCAAAATTCATTAATAAAATTAAAATTATAACTATTTGAACTCTTTATACTTCTACGTTCCTACAACATTATCCATCTATTAAACATAATTAATAATTAACCCATAATTCTCCTCTCCGTACAAATTACTAGAATCTAAGGATGGATATGATATTTTTTTTCTCAAATTAAATATAAATTTATTTCTATGTCTTGCACTAATGTTAATACAGAAAAGGCCTTGTTGTTTTAATTATATATATATATATATATATATATATATATATATATATATATATATATATAATGTAAATCATTGAATTATAAATGCTTGATGAAATCTCTATAGTATATTACCTTATTTTATTGTCTTTATTGAATGAAAAGAACAAACCCATTTGAATCCTTTTATGATGGTGGAACTTGTCCTTTTAATCTGATTTTGGGTACAAATTTCAATTGGTTTTGCTTAACAATAAGATTGATGATTATTGTACATGCTACAAATATAGAATTAACAAGTTACACATGAATGAGCAGGAACTCTTCAACTTACATGGCCTATGAGGATGAAAATTGCAATTGGTGCTGCTAATGGCCTTGCATTTTTACATGAGGAAGCTTCAAGGCCAATAATATTTCCAGATTTTAAGACCTCTAAGATCTTATTGGATATGGTAACAACTTGAATGTTGCAATTTCTCACTATACTAATTTTCAACATATATACATCTTAATATCATTTTATTTCAGGATTGTAACGCAAAACTTTGGGACTTTGGTCTTGCTAAAGAAATTCATTTAACAACTAAAGTACTACGAATAAAAGGCTATGAAGCCCCTGAGTACATGATGACTGGTTAGTATACTCTTTTAATGTCCAAATTTTAAAAGTGTTATGATACTTAAGCTGAATAGTTTCTAACCCATATAATAACCCGTAAATATTACTTTTATTTATTCGTCATCAAATTCATAGAGTTGACTTGTTGTTGAAAATTTTCTCATTCTTTAAGTTATGTAGTTTTTATTAAAATCATGACGTTTATCACATATGGTTACTTTACTTGTTTTGAATTCTTTTGAGAAAATTTAGAACTTTCTTTATCTATAAGTGATAATTGTCAAGGAAATAGTTTACTCACTTTTCTTGTTCATTTCTAATATTAGTTAGTATCATAGTGCATGGTTACCCATGCTTGCTAACTGAAGTGTTCATATTTATAAAATTGTTTCAAACAAATTATTCTAGAAAGGAATCATTATAATGAAAAGATAGTGAAAATAATTGTTTCAAACAAATTCATTCATTTCCTATATTATCTAGATGAAATTATTAAGTCTTTTTAATGCCATTAAATTGTAAATTCAAAAGTTATCAACCTTAGTGTGTTTTTCTCAACCAAATGTTCTACTCATATATATACATAGCATAAAATTGTCAGTTTTACCAAAATACCTATGAAAACTCATACAACTAGTAGTGATTAAAAATTCAACTAAATACCAAAACCTTCAAATTTGTTAGGACACCATAAAATTTCTCTTCTTTTAATTTGTGTCTTGGAATAACATTATTTGACTTATGTAATTAAACATGGAAACAATGCATGCTAATTTAAGCTTCAATGTTGAATATGGTGAAAGTTTATCCTCAATTGGTTGTTAACATTTAAGAATGTTGTTGAAACAGGAAACATTACTTCTGAGAGCAATGTTTATAGCTTTGGGGTTGTTCTACTTGAGATGTTGACAGGAAGAAGAGCCTTGGATCAGACAATGCCTATAGAAGAACAAAACTTGATAGAATGGTTGCGACCTCAACTTAGAGACAAAGGAAAGTTTCATTATTTAATGGACCCTAGACTTGAAGGTCAATACCCTACAAAATGTGCTCATAGGACAATGAGGTTAGCTACTCATTGTCTTCGCCTAGACCCTAAAGCAAGACCACTTATGAGTGAAGTAGTTCATGAGTTGAAGAATTTGCATGATAACATGGTTAGTGAACTTGGTCCTTCCAACCGTGTCTGTGCTAATAAGTATGGTCTTGGAATACCTTCATCACCAAATGTTTTAAGGTGTTTTCAAGCCTCACCACAATGTCAATACTATCCTCTACCTCTACCTCCAGATCCACCAAATCCTAGTGTTGGATCTTCATCTAAATCCTAAGATTGGATCTTCATTCAACTCTTGTGTTAGCTAGGTTTCTTATGCACATAACTATTTTTTTTTTTCTAAAATTTGGCGGAATTACCATGTTTCTCTAGTTTTATATTGTGATTAACAAATTTAAATAGGATACCAATTTAAAAATACAAAGTAAATGAGTTGGGTAAATTGCTACGTGCACTGATTTCACCCCTTTTTTCTTCTTAGTGATGAATGTTATCATCTTTATCATATTTGTTAGGAAAATATATTTTTTTCTCCTAAAAAATAATGAGGTCAACCTTTTTATTTTACTAATTTCTAAAAAAAAATCTAATTTTTTTTGCCTCCCAATTAATATATTTGAAAGTATATTTATGTTTTGTAAAAATTTGTCTTTAAGCCTTTCACTGAATCACTTCGAGAAAAGAAAAACTTGGTAAATTTAAATAAAAATTTTATTGTTGACTTCATTCAACTGTTTAGAAAAAATAAAATAAAAGACAAATTTATTAGTAAATTGAGGTGCAAAGAGTACCCTTTGACAATCCCAATTATATCGAAAATGGAAGTGCAATAACAAAACATACAAGTAGAAGAATTGACCACCACTCATAAATTATTTATATCAAACTTTAATATTTAGATTTAGCTATTTTAATTAGTTAAGATTAATCTTAAGTTTCACTTTATTAATTTAAAAAATCAAACACGGATGGTTCATATAGCTCAATTTTTTTACTTTTAGACGAAAAAATATTGAAATAAAATATATATATAATATGTGTAAAGGTAAGGACGTAATAAATTTAAGATAATTATTTTTTGTGTGTTAAATACTATTATTTTACTTTTAGATTCAGTATACATATATTTACACAACATAAGCTTATTTTTATTGAAAAATATTGTTTATATGTTTGCTTAAAACAAATACAAAAAAGTTGGAGTGTGAACTTAACAAAATGTGTGAGAAATAACAAAGCCCGTGTATCCAACTCCTTAAATGTTGGGCCTAGGGTTATGAACCTGGCACGATCCAGTATCATTGAACATGTGTGTTGTTTATCTTGTAACAAAGTATATATTTAACCTAATTTATATATTTCAAATAATCATATACTTTGTTACCAGATAAAATACCCAAACAACTAAACCTTATTGATAAGTTATTAACAATTTAAATAATAATAAATATTATTAATTAATTTGAAACAACCTTCACATTCTATATTATTGTGTTATGTGATGGTTGAGATACACATAAAGAAAAAAGAAACCACCACAAATGAGAAAAAACTATATAAATATCTCAAGTAATATAAAAATATATAATGACTAGTCTCTTAGCTATACTCTATTTCCCATATAAAATAAATAAAAAGTGGTCTCATTTCAAAAATGAAGTTCAGTCACCATCTATAAAACTAAGGTCAAAAGTTGCATAAGATGCATTCTACTTTTACATATGATATAACATTTTTTTTAATTATTTATTTGACTTATATATTTACATAATATATCATCATTATTATTATTATTATTATTATTATTATTATTATTATACACAAAATAATTTTTCCATAGGTTTTGAATTAGAATTTATTTTTATAATGCACGCACTGATAATTTTTTTACAGATAAAGAATAAAAAAATACCATTTAAATTTAAAAATATTTTTAGTGTTCTTATTATAAAAATCAATCACCTTAAAATATTACTTATTCTTAAAATATATGTATGCTGAAGCTACTATCCTTTTTTATACAATGTTAAATGATAAAAAAAATAATATCATTAAAATAAAATTTAAATAATTATTATAAAAAAAATCATCTTAGAATACTATTCTTCCACATTTGCATAAAAATAACTAATTTCACAGTAATTAAAAAATTCGGCTAATATCAACTATTTCTATTAATTTTGATTAAAAATATTTTTTATTAAAACTTGATATTATGAATTAAATTAAAATCATTTAATAGAATCCCTAATTGCTGATTATTTTCCATAAACAGCGCCAATGTTATGATGTGGAACAAGACGAGGGATCTCTGACAAAAAAAATATATTTTTGAGCATAATTATCCTTATTATGATGTTAAAAAAATTGTAAACAAATAACTTTTAAAATGTAAATAGTAAAGAAAACTATTAAAAAAAAAAATCTTAACATGTAGATTATAAATTCGTATTTGTGGTGATTTGATGTGGAAGAACATATGTATGATAAACTAAACACAAATAATTTCCAACTTCACCTCAACGAATGTGATATGACAGGAACAAGAAACTGTGAGCAACATGTTCTGGTTTTTCCTCGAAATGCAAGTCCTGCTAGCACTGATCGAAATTAAGGAAGACAATTCAGTAATCACCTGAACCTTGTCTGGTGAATGTTTATTGCATGACACAGCCACACATGCATGCATTACAATGCCCACATGTCTTGGTGAATGGATGCATCAACCATTAATGGTGACTGTTCTATATGCTGTCATGGCCTCAATCTCTTAAATCATCCTTCGCAACTTTGTAATGCTGAATTTTGTACATTTCTCATAAGAGTGAAAGCTAAGAAATTATATATATATATTAATGTTGGGTATTATTAGAAGATTTTCTCCATAGAATATCACCACAGTTTCGATTCAAAATTTTATTTTTATTATTTATAAATTATTTAATTATTTAATTTTTATTCAATTTCTCATTTAAATTCTAAATAATTTCTTCTTCAAATAATTTTTTCTTTTAAATATAATTTTATTTTATCTAAAAACCAATTACAAAAACAAAGAATGGATTTTAATATTACTTTATGATTGACAGCATGTAAGAAACTTAGGATGAAGAGTTTATGAGAGAGAAAGAGATGAGATAAGATGATAGGATTTTGCTTTAGGTTGTGGCAGAAGCTCACATGGGATCTTCTTTAGGATTCAGAGTGAAGTAGTTTCTGTTGTCACATTCAAATTGCAAAGTTAGTTTTTCTTTTTAATTTTAAAAGCAAATTATATCTTGGCAATAAGAAATTATAATTAATGCTCTTTTTTTTTAGCATCAATTATCAACATAAAATTTTGTTTTTATCAAATTTTTTAAGAGATTACATGAATCACTATTGAAATTTGGTGAAATTACACATACTTTTTATTTTCAACATTTAATTAAAAGATTAGTGTAATATAAGAAAATATTAATTTTTTTTAAAACAATCAAGGAAGACAAGTGAATAATGGATAAACAGATAGTATTTGTGTAATTTTACTAAATCTTAGATGATTCATGTGATTTACTCAAAACAATTTCTACATTTTGATTAGAAAATCAAATATTTGAAAAACTCATCTCTCTGCTAAGGATATGTTTAAAATAATTACAAAAATAAATTATTTTAATAAAAATTAATAATAATTGTTGTAATTAATCATATTCAGTTTTTAATTAAATTCATTTTTTTAGATAAATCTATTGAAAACTTATTTCAGATATATAAAAATAAGCTTTTATATAAAAAAATTGCTAAAAATAACCATAAATTACACTTTATTTTTCAAAAGACTCTTCAAACACTATTTCTTTAAATTTATTTTGCAAATTTCAATACTATTTTAAACATACTACTAAAATTATAATATTTTTTTATCTCTAAAACGACTTAAATCTCCTAAAACAAATTTTTCCCAAAACGTTGTTCTTTAAGGCTTTGTTTGGTTGGAGTGATTTGAGAGAGTGGAATTGAGAGAGTGGAAAAGGAGGGATTTGAAGAGAAATGGAGATGATTGAAAAGTGAAAGGAAAGTTTATGGGAAATTGTGAATGATTTGATTGATATGAGATATAAAAATTATAATTTTATGTTTATTATTTAAGAAAATTACCATTTTACCCTTTGTATCAAATAAGGTTCAAATGATTATAAATATAATTTTTTAATTAATTATCCATATTTTAACATTGATTATATATTTAAAAGAAAAAACAAATTTAAAAGTGTTTGTAATTGGAAACAAATTTAAAAAATTAACTTTTTTTAGATAGTTATTAAAAATTATATAAATAAACAATTACAAAATTATGTACATTGCATATCCATATTCAAATAATGTTGACATATTAAATAAATTATTTGACTAATAATTAAATAATTATAAAATATAAAATAATAATTAATATTGACTCGATAATAACAAATAATTATGAAAACTAATAATATAATTGTACATTATTATTTAAAACAAATATAAAATACAATGAACATGTGATAGCGGTTACAAAGACAACCGCTATTATATATACACTTTTAAGAGCTGTTACAAAGACAACCGCTCTTAAAAGTAATCCGTGATAGCGGTTATATGTTAACCGCTACCTAAAGTTTTCAAATGATCGATTATTTTGCCAAAATGATCGATCACAATTCCAAAACCTCGACACTTTAGATAGCGGTTCACCTAAAACCGCTATTACAAGTTATATTTCGCTTGAGCGACACTAAACTCGCTCGAGCGAAGACACCTGCACATAATTTTCATCCTCGGGTTGTTTTTCGCTTGAGCGAAACTGATCTCGCTCGAGCGACTAGAAAAAATCTCAGTGATTTGATGAAGTCAAAAGTCAACTCTGCAACAGTCAAACAAGTCACTCAGAAGAATGGAGCTGTCTTAACAGAAAGCTTAGGTAAAACCACTTTACATTTTCCACTGCATGAAGCTCCTTCACTCAATTTGCAAAATGCCTCAAAAATAGTTTTAAACAAATCAAACAAAAGCATTTTGACAAAGAACTTTCTTAACAATGTTTTTAACTGATATAGTTTTAAAAGAAACAATTAAAATCACTTAGAATGCGTAAAGAAGTGTTTTTACAGTATTTTAATCGATACAAACTTCTTTTAATCGATTAAAACCCTTTATGACCGATTAGAATTCGAATATGACAGTCGAATGAAATATAATCAATCAGACTTTAAAAATGAGCTATCGATTTATTTTAATCGATTAAAACACGCTTTAATCGATTAAAACCACTTTGGAAGTCGGATGATCTGATCAAAATGTACTTATGACCGATCAGAGTTGGTTATGATCGATCGAATTGAATTATGACCGATCAGACTTATTTCAATCGATTAAAGCGAATTTCAATCGATTAAAATGACTTGAAAATTTTTGTACAGAGTTTAAATCGATTAAAACGCATTTCAATCGATTAAAATGACTTAGAAAAATTTCATGCAGTGTTTTTAATCGATTAAAACTTCTTTGTATCAGCTTAAAATAACTTGAAAAGTGTTATAAGAAAGTTTTAAACTGAATCAATCGATTAAACCGCGAATCAATCGATTAAATCACTCTTAGAAAATGTTTGTAAAAAGTTTTAACTGATAAAAACTTGGTCGTATCAGCTAAAACAATTCGTTAAAGAACAAGAACGCATTAATGGGTTGAAAGGACTTTTAACAGATTATAACGGCTATTTCAACAGATTAAAACAAACTTTCAACAAGATTAATTAATGCAGCTTTTTCTCGAAAACTCTTTTATAAACGAAATTGCTTGGAACTTTTATCATATCAGCTTTTAAAAAACAAAGCAATCAATTTAAGCAATCGTTAGCATCCTTTTTCCAAGAAAGAATTACAACTGGAAGTTGGTTCTTGGTGGAAAGGTTGAGTGCAAGAACATGAACAACTGGGAGAGACGAAGATGTCCCATATATCTGACTCCGAATGTTGAAATATTGATGATCGTCTCATCACATTAACTTGAGATAAAATAATTACAATATAATTTTCTACTTTGAGAATTAATAATATAATTAAACATCAAAATTGAGAATACTCTTATACATTTTGAACTCTTTTGGATAAATTTTGTTTCCCTAATTTTTGATAAAGTTAATTTTAATATTTAAATTTATTAGAGGTTAAGGTTTAACCTCTATTATAAGCTCCCTTTAAGAATGGTTCTTAAAGTGTTCCATCAACTCCCCGTCGCTTCTCAATTCCCGATTGAATCAGTGCTGAGTCGGATTAAAGAAAGTAGAGTCTGATGTTATTGCCTTTGCCCCCACGCCAGCTTGCTCTCTAATCCCACTCGCTGATTGGATTGAACCGAAAAAGCGGAGCTTAGGTAGGCTACAACAACTCTCAAAGCGTGAGCTCATAAGTCGTATTTCGCTCGAGCGACTATATCTCGCTCGAGCGAAATACGATCCTGATCGATCATAAGTTGAAATGATCGATCATAATTGGAGGATATAATAGCGGTTCCTCTCAGAATCGCTTATCTAAAGTGTATATTAGATAGCGGTTCCAGTGGAACCGCTATCATATACAATCATATTTTAATTTCTTGAGTCTCGTCGGTTGTCGCTTGAGCGATCTATATCTCGCTCGAGCGAAATATGATTCTGATCGATTAGATTTACGAAATGATCGATCATAATTGGAGGATCTAATAGCGGTTATGTTTTAACCGCTATTAGAAGTGATATATAATAGCGGTTATGTTTTAACCGCTATTAGAAGTGATATATAATAGCGGTTAAGTTTTAACCGCTATTAGAAGTGCTATTATAATAGCGGTTAAGATTTAACCGCTATCATATGGAAGAGGGTAACTTCGCCATTTCATTATTTCCAGCAGACTTTCACCTCTTTTCTTCGCAGATCAGCGAAGAAAGTCTCTCTCCCCTCTCCTCCTTTTCCTCACCTGCATTTCTTCGCAAATCTATTTAATTAAATGTGGGTGAATCTTATGCTGTGGGTGAATCTTATGCTTCTGTCTTTGTTAAGAGTATTTCGTCGCAAATCAGTTGAAACAAACGTAGGCTAAAAGTTTGCAAAGTTAGCAGCATGATTGATTTGTAGTAACTTTAATTTTGCTGTAACTTTTAACTTTTTTTTTCTTCTCCCTTCTTGAAGTGTGTGCAAACTCAGAATCCTAACAGTGAACTCCCAGCTAGATTTGGATCTTCTTTCTTTCATCCCAGAAAACGAGATGCCTCACTCTCTGCACCACTTCATCTCTCCTCAGTACTCTCAAGTCAGCCATGCCCTTTATTTCATTACATCATCTTTGTTGAAATAGCAGTGATATTTTTTCAACAAAAAATTATTACACTCTTTAAATAATTCATTTTTATTAATATAAATAAAATAAAATTATTATTATAATATTAAAATAGAGTTGTTTACATACATTATAATTTATTTTTATTAATATAATAATTTATAAATTAATTTAATAAAAATAAAAATAAAATAAAATTATTATTATAATATTAAAATAGAGTTGTTTATATAAATTATATAGATTTGGATGCACAAATTATCATTTTCCTTCTTCGAATACCTTTTTTCCATGCAATTTTCAATGACATGATATCATGATTCCGAAGCACCAACATCAAATCAAATAAACATTTATGATGGTATTTTACTTCAACTAGAACAAAAAATATTATTTTGCATAACACTAAAGTAAAAAGATGCTCTACTATTCAAAGTTCACCACCTCACTTGACCATGACTAAAGTAATTCAAACTCTTTGTACACCAATCTACATAAACATAAATTGGAAAAACTGGTAGGGAGAAAAAAAAAAGTTGAGCTAAGCCTAATTAATGAACTTAAATACTTCTCATAACCTCTCAACCTCTAATCATTCATAGTGTTCAAAATCAAGTTTTGATTAATGAAACTGTTGCTGCTGCTCAGGCCAAGGCCAAAAATTCTGTTGTTCATCAATGTTGTGGAACATGTTGCAGAAGCTCTCATCTTGGAGATCTGATCTTGATGAGCATTGGAGGAGTTGAGTTAGGCTTGTTGGCTTAAGGGAAGTTGGTAGAAGGCTTTTTCCATTCTGGGAAGACACAGGACTGTTCATCACTGGTGTTCTTGAGAGATCCAAGTTGATTTCTGAACTGTTGTTGCTTCCACTGCTCCAAGAACCCTCAGTTTCTTTCTTGAGGTTAATTGTTTCGGTTTCACAGCAGTCCCTATTTTTCAGGGTTTGTAGCTGCAGACGCGACACAGTAGAAGTGTTGTGTGTTCATGTTAGTTTCATCATAGGTTTTAATTCCAAGCCTTCATTCATGTTTCCTTTGTTGCATGTGAAGGATAAAATGCAACCTTGTCTTTTTCATGGACAGCATCATGGAACAGTTATAACACAGTTTTCAATGGAAAAAGGAAAGCAAACATTACTATTAACTCGCAGTTCTCAGTTCTGACACTGTCACACTGACACCAGCCAAGAATGAACAACTTAATCAATAAAAACAAGTTAATGTTGGAACCAATCTCTTTAAAATTAGTCACTTAGGCATGTGGGATCATCATAACTCAATCAGTGATATGGAGTTTTCTCACTAAATAGCAAGAAACACCAAAACTCAAAAATAAAAAGAGCAGAAGATCTCATGGTTAAAACATAAATGTATATATAAAAGACTAACTTTCTTTTTTCAAACATGAAAAAATATCAATTCCATCCATTGTTTAGGGAAAAGGAAGAGCACAGAAACGGCTAAGAGGACCTTTACAAATTATATCTAATCAAATTCTAGAGAATAAAACTAGGGTGGAAAAAAATTAGACAGAACAACCATTGAAGAACAAAACTCCATTACTTCCTGTACAAAATCCAATTTAAAGCATATAGAATTCAGCACCAGACAATTGAATATTTGGATTCATGTCAATTTTTATTAAGACCGCATGGTCGTTTAATGATATTTTGAAACAATATCAGGATTTGAAGAGTATCAAATTAACCCCCCAAGATCTCAAAAACTTCAAGCTCTCATTTCAACAAAACTATTATTATCATGACCCAGAAATGAACCTTAATTATTCCTACAAACAAGGTTGTTTTCATGGTTTGAAGCAATGACTGGTCACAAGACATGTTACTAGTATTTTCATTAATTTTTAAAATTTTTTTACCGATGACTAGTCACAAGACATGATTCTGGTATTGAAAATAATAAAACTTATATGTAGGTCTTTGAAGTAATTATGATACAACGTTTCAATCAGAATTGAAGTTTCACCAAGTAACATCATCTGATGATCTTAGTACAAGTTGTTTTTCAGATTACTGGAATTAAAATTCCAATTCTAATGGGAGAACAAGATAAAAGAACTGCATTTAAATTTTGTGAATTATTAGATACAAAAGCAGTAAATGATATATATTAAGTACCTCTGCATGTAGTTTCTGATTCTGAGCTTTGAGTGAATCATTATCAGCTTTCATAGCTTCAAACTGCTTCTTGAGAACTTCATACTCCTTCTCAAGCTGCTTGGTCTTCCACCTTGCTCTCCTGTTCTGAAACCATATAGCAATTTGCCTTGGTTGGAGCCCCAAAGCCTTGGCAAGCTGCATTTTTCTCTCAGGCTCAAGCTTGTTCCCCAGCTCAAAACTCTTCTCAAGTGCCTTCACCTGCTCCAAACTCAGCCTCCTCTTCTTCTCCCCTAGCTGAGATCCATCATCTGACAACTCGTCATCTCCATGCACTTCATCGCACTTGTTCTCTATGCCTGAAAACGACATCGATCGCTTCATCATGAAACCTGCACCTCCACCACCCCCTAAACACCACACAGAATCAACATCAAATATTCAATACAATAATACATGCTTCCTTAAGAAAGTAACTTATTTTTTATCAGCAATTATCAAGCATCATAATCAAACTGTGACTGCAATTTTAAAACATGATAATTACATATATATACATCAAGGTTTCAAATTGTGATAGCTACCGCAGTTTCTTCATGATTCTTGAGACTGAAATTGCAGATAAAAACTGTTTTTTTAAGACTTTGATGTACATCAACAAAGTAGATGAATTAACATGGAGAGTGAGTGTGTTTCGTTGTGATTACCTTGAAAGTGATGGGGTGGGAAAGAGGGGAAGGCGTTGAGGGAGGAAGAGGTAGAACGTAGATGGAGTTCATGGTGGTCATGACCTTCATGGGTTTGGAACATGAAGGTGTGAGAGGGAGGGAAGGCCATGGTAGAAGAACAAGGAGATAAGGAAGGTGGTAGTAATGATGTTATTATTATTATTATTAGTAGTAGTAGTATAATTCATTCATGCAAGGTTTTTGGAGGGTCACAGACTCATTCACTCATATCTTTCGTCTCTTTGTTTCAGTTTGCTAGAAGAATGGTTTGATGAAGGGTTGGTAGCAATCCCAGGAGTTTGGCTCTCACTCTCATGGTGACAGGGTTTTCAGAAAGAGGGATGGTGCTGATGATAGGTTTGCAGACCAAAAGACAGCGATTTTTAGGTTGAGAGACTGACAGCAGAGAGAGAAAAATAATAAAACACACGACAATTTCTGTAATCTTGAAATTCATAGATATCTGCGAACTACAGCACATATTTCTGCAATATTTTTTAATTTAAAATATTATATGTTTATATAGCTTTGGATATAAGTTCACATTCACAACAACAACAACGATGAAAAATCATTCAAACTCAATGATTCATAATAAAGTTCCGGGCCATAGAAAATAACTATATTATTATAATTATTTGGGATTTTTGGCTTTTATTGATTATGATAGAGTGGAAGGATATAAATGACCTTGTAAGTTATATCTTTATTTTTGTCTTTTCAATGAATTTTTTTTTATATTATTTATTTAATGACTTAGTTAAGTTTAACTTAAAAATAAATATAAAAGTTAAATAATATGATAATTTTTTATTGGTGAGAGAAAAATAAAGAGGTAATTTTAATCTATGATGAAAATGGGTAATTTTAATATCTGTCCATATCAAAAGCATAAGCAATCCCAATATAAAAAGAAGAAAAATTGGTTTCTTTAGAGAGATCTAGATGTAGCTTGCTTGTTCTTGACATATATACATTATTGGGTATAATCAGTCCAAAAGGAATTTGATTTTATTCGAAAAATAAGTAATACAAAAGAAAGTAAAATTAGTGAATTTTGATTTTAATTTTTACAAAAAATTATTTTCAATTAAAAAAAACTTCAAAATTCTATTTTTTTTCTCTACTATTGTATAACATAATACACTTGTTCATTATTTATACTTTAGCTAAAGGTAATAATTTCAAAATATTTCATAAATCTTTTTTTAAGTGCTTTAGAGTGATTTTATTGAATAGAAAATATTAATTTTAAATTTTGAAGGGATTAAAACTAAAGAAAAATATTCATAAGCAACAATAATAAAATGTGTTTGTGATTTAAAATTTTAGAAATATAAAGAAATAAAACAATATTATGGAAAAAAATAGTACAATTTTGGTATAAATATTAAAAAGTATTTAAACAAAAGCAAATCAATATGTTATTATAAATGTGACAAGGAAGTGAAAATCCAAAATCCAAGGAGAGAATTATAGATAGAAAATATTTTGAAATGCATGCCTCATGAATAAAGTGATTTTATTATATGTATTATTTTTTTTTGGTAAACTTATTTTAAGTATATATATATATATATATATATATATATATATATATATATAAGCATCATGATGGAACTTGCACTAGGAATTGAATTAAATTAATTAAAGTAATAAGTTTACATTTGCTGGATTTATTTTTTTCCATTCTCTATCAAACATTCTCTAAAAATAAATACACGGATAAAATCGAATACCTTGAAATATTTGAATATTATACTTAAACATTATCAAGACATTTAATCTAAATATGTCAATATTTATATAATAATTAATTATTAACTAATTTCAAGACCCATACGTATATAAAATGAGTATTTAATAATATTGTAGAAAATTGAGTAGTATATGATAGCGTAGGTTGGTCTCAGTGTTGAACATTAAATTGTGTGGTGATGAAAAAGAAGGTAATGGGTATCACTGAGGATGGGACCCACCAGGTGTCCCTCTCTGGCTAGGGTGCCCTACAGCAGCACCAAAGTCCCTTTGCATGTTCAGCCCTTTATTGGAAATTTTGGGGCAATCCCTTTGGAATAGGGTGAGAGCATGTTATATTCCCCCAAAAAATTATTTCATCAAAGTGCTCTGAATCTTCTCCACATGCTCCCCTGTTTCCATGTGCTTCTGCTTCCCTCTCTCTCTCTCTCTCTCTCTCTCTCTCTCTCTCTCTCTCTCTCTCTCTCTCTCTCCCTTCTGCAACCAAAATCATTTCAATAAAAGAAAAAAAAATTCCTTCTGTGTCATATTTTTTTTAGATAATACTCATTTTTTATATATATATATATATATATATATATCATTTAGGTCTAAATAAATAATAAAAATATTTAATTTTTATTTTAATCCGAATTAAAAAAATTATATATCAAAACCTACCAACAATTTGGTAATTTTAAATTTTAATCCATAGTTAGTAGAAGGTAAAGAGAAAGAGAATTATTATATTAATAATACTCTTTCAAAATCTACTTAATAACCTTAATTTATAATTTTGTTTTTGTTTTTGGAAAGTAAAGGGGCAGTTTTCAAGCATGCAGTAGGAATAATTGGGCCTCTGCTCTGTCAAACGGGCCGAGTTTCATTTTCATAGTAAATGGTCCAAAATATTGAACATACGATATGAGGCTTTATAACCCCTCAAGTTCTGGGATCCAACATTTGGGCCTGTGTGACCCGAAGGACCTTGTTACACTGTCATTTTCACTGTGTTCTATACAGTAATCTGATTTCCTTTATAAATAGTTATACAATACTTAAATCTACAATATTATTAACCGTTTTTAAAATTAAGTTTATTTAGTATTATAATTTTAAAATATGAACTAAAAATATATTTTTTCTATATAAAATAGAATATATACAATCTATATATACCAATATGTTAAGAATGTGTAGTTAATTAGAAATAAATTTAAATTTGTTTATGTTGACATAAACAAGGTTTAAACAGTTTTCTTTTCTTTAAAAATATTTCCAACAGTGCTATTTAATCCAATTGAATAAACTTGTTTATAAAAATGTCATTTTATTTTCATGCTATTTTTTTTACATATTTATATACAAATATAAATAATATTAATAAGTTATTTTCACTATAGTCTTTATTCACATCTTTGAAAAAAAAAGATAAATATAATTTATTATGTTGTAATCATAAATCTTAAACTCTAATCCCTAAAACCTAAATAAATATATTTTTTTAAGAAGAAAAAATTTAAAATAAAATAAAAAAGAACTTGTAAAAATTAGTTCAACTAAGAAAGTATGTGTAGTTTGGTTTTGCTTCCTTTCATATATTACCAAAACAAAAATACTAATTAATGTATGTAAGTTTAAATTAATGAATTATTTTTTATTTACTTAAAATAAGTTTAGATTTGAGATGTTTAAACTATTTAAATGTAAAATAAAATATTTTTTTATTGTAAGTATAATAATAAACAGAGTGCTAGCATGATAAAATAAGTAAAATAAATAAATAAAATTAAGAGAATATTTAATTAAACTAATCTTTTTAAGATTGTTAATGAATTAAATAGATATTTTTTTTACAAATTTAAGTGTTCTTTTAACAAAATCTTATTAAAAACACAGATAAATATTAATATAAATATTTTTTCCATAAATATTTAAACATGGGTTACCATAACCAGCATCAATGTAGATAAAAATACATATTATGCCAATATAGATAAACACCAAATATGCCTTACAAAACTTCACATGTGTCACTACAAACACACGTTATAATACATTCCATTTTTAATAAACAAATTCATTCATAATTCATAAGAGGATAATTCTTTTTATTATTCACTGTGTTACATTTAGTTACGTATCAAAATAAGAGGGGTTTAGTTTTAAAAAATCACAGCAAATTATTATCCACCTTAAAATTTTAATCTATCACAATTTTTTCTTTAAAATATATATAAATAAATTAAGTCTTAATAAATTAAGAAATAAAAATATATATAAATTACTTTTATCTCGATTACTACTTAATATTTTAAGATTAATAAACATATCATAATATATATCAAATAGTTAATTACTGGCCAAAATTTTTTTAATTAATAATGATTTAAGGATATTAATACAACTTTGATATTTTTTAAGTCACATAATTTAATACTCATATTATACTTATCCAAATTTATTATTACTTCCTTTATAATTACTATAATTTCATTATATATAACATAATCTATATTCATTTCAATTAATTCAACCTCAATCACAAAATATCCCAAATCATTTCAATCAAATACATAATAAGCACAAAAAATAATTAATCAATTTACTAAATTATAAGTAAGTTTAATATTTAGAACAATTAAATATGTAATTTATACTTTCTAAAAAACAAAACAAAAATATATCATTGGACGTAAATTTGATTATTTACTCATTATTTTTACTGGTCTGAGCTGAAGTATATTTAACTTAGACAAAACATAAAAGACTTAACTAAAATTTATTTGGTTGAGTGACATTTTATTTACAAATATATAAATCGTATCAAATTCTTGATTTTTTTTTTTGCTGACCCTAATGAATGGTGACCTAAATTTCAGGGTTTGGTTTGGTTTTATGAGACAATGAAAATATTTCTATTGAAAGGGAAAAAAATAGAGAAAAAGTTACTCTAATCCAAGGCTAATTGAATGTAGACATTTTCAAGCTCAAGACAATCACAGCAAACTTCGTAACATTATTTCAACCCCAAAAATACATTCAATCATATGGACCATGGATGCTTATATAGATAATATGTCTCCCACATTCCCACGTGTAAACCTCAAAACATTTCATCATCCAAAAGAATGTCATTAAAGTGTAGTTAAAAAAAAATTGTTGATTGAAATTAAACTATGATTATAAATATCATGTTTAATTGTATTTTTATTTCCTCCAATTTAAAGTGAGGACAATTTAGCTATCAAATATAAGTTTAAAAACAAGACAATTTTTATTTATGTAATTTTGAATGTTTGATTTTGGTTTACGCATTTGAAATATAGACAATTTTAGTGTCATGGTTAACTTAGAATCCAATTTTTAATGATTTTGATTATGAAATAAAAAAAAATATTATTTTTTAAAAATTTATTTGTAGTTTGATAGCAATTTTTGGTCATTTTATTTTATCTTTTTGACGTATTTAATAATTTATTTATTATTAAATTATTTAAACTGTAAAATGTAAGTAATTAATGTCATATAATGTATCTATAAACGTGATCACATATATGTTAAAAGTTGGATGATAAGTTAACAATAAATGATAAAATTATCGATTTTTCTTTATCATAATTTAGCAATTAAAATTATGGGATAATTTCTCATATAAATCACAATCAAATAGTTTAATTTTTTTAAAAATAATGTATTTGCACGGGAAACTAAAATTATAGTTAAGTGTAATTAGGATTGTAAATTTTAGGGTAAATAATCAATTTGGTCACTAAATAAAGTGTCATCAATCTAATTCTTGAAAGTAAAATAATTATAAAAACATTCTTAAAGGGGAAAAAGGTGTCTCAATTTAATCTGATAATTCAATTTAATAGATTAAAGTTAGCATTTATGTCTATGTGAAACATTTTTGGTTTATGTATTATTCAATCAATATAGTTAATTGGATCAAAAATAAAAGTTGAATTCTTCTTTTTAATTTTTCAAGATCCTATGTTATAACATATTATTCTTAATTTAATCTTAGAATCTACCTATTTACTTTCATTTTGACACCTGAGAGAGCTTTCGAATTGTCAATTAAATCTAACATTGCATATAAATTAACAAAATCATGCATGATCTTTTATGTTTATCATAAACAAGATGGTATTACACATGAAAAAACTTTTAATTTAGTGAATTGGATATTGATTAAAGAGTGAGATACTCTCTTTAACTAAGTGATAAACATAGAATATACATAGAATATACGATTACAAATACCGTATCATGCCATGATTCTACATGATTATTTTTTTCCATATTTAGCTTGGCATGACAGCAATGCACAGCGATGCACATTAATTTCATATCTGTTAATAGACAAATTTAGGATACCGACTATAATGGTTAGCGTAATTATAGCCTAGAATGTTTCTGTATTTCATGTATATATTGTGTTATCATATTCAATACAAGGCAGGGGTTTTGTGGAAATATTTTTATCATGGTATCAGAGCAAACCAAACTCTGATATCCAACAGCCCGAGAACACAGTCGTACTTCTAAAATGGCAGAGAGAGGAGAGGCGGTGAAGAAAACACCATCGCCATACGATCCGAGTGCCGGTGATAATCCTGAAAATGTGATTACACAGGTACAATTACGAGGAGAGAATTACGAGGAATGGGCAAGGGCCGTGAAGATATCTCTCGCGGCTCGAAGGAAATGGGGTTTCATAGATGGAACTCATAAGGAACCTGAAGAAGACACATCCGAGATAGAAGATTGGTGGACAATTCAATCGATGCTTGTATCTTGGATACTAAACACTATAGAACCTAGTTTGCGTTCCACTCGTTGCATACATGGAAAACGCAAAGGATCTATGGGATGACATCAAGGAACGATTCTCGATCGTGAACGGACCAAGAATCCAGCGAGCTAAAGTCGAGTTGGCAGAATGCAAACAACAAGGAATGACTATGGTTTCCTATTATGGGAAGTTGAAAACGTTGTGGGATGAACTGGCAAATTACGAGCAAATCCCACGGTGTAAATGTGGGGGATGCAAGTGTAATATTATGACGCAACTTGAGAAACGAAGAGAAGAAGAAAAAATTCATCGGTTCTTGATGGGGCTAGATGATGAGGGCTATGGAACTGCACGGTCAAATGTTTTGGCAACGAGATCCATTACCCTCGTTGAATCGGGTGTATGCCACCATGGTGCAAGAAGAAAGGGTGAGAACAATCACCAGTGTCTAAAGAAGAGCGAGGAATGATCGTGGGAATGGCTATGCGAGCGGAAACCAGGAACAAGTTGCGCAATGAAGCGAAAGAAAAATCGCTTGTTTGCATGCGAGTGTGGAAGGAAGGGACATGACAAAGGCAATTGCTTCGAGATCATTGGTTACCCAGAATGGTGGGGAGAGAGACCACGAAACGATGGAAAAAATCAACAAAGAACAGGAACCTTCCGAGGGAAAGGAGGAACGGCTCGCGTCAATATGGCGCACACTGGTGCAGATAACGTTGGTTCAACCGAAAAACCAGAAGTAGCAGGACTGAGTAATGAGCAATGACAGATCTTGACAGCAATGTTGAATTCTCGCAAGGCAAATGAAACTGAAAAGATGACTGGTAAGAAAGCATGTGACTTGTGGATTATTGATAGTGGCGCCTCTAATCATATGACAGGAACACTAGAAAACTTGAGGGAGAGTCGAGCCTTGGAAGGTGTCAATGGCATAAGAATATTGTTGGGTACATTTTTTAGGTGTAAAATTTTACATTCAAGTGCATATTATAAATCTTAGTCTTATTGCTTTAGATAATAAAGTGTCAAAAAATGTTTGGTTTGAATAATATAAGTATAAGCATTCAAGAATTGTGTATGTTTTAGAGAATAAAAGATTCAAGTCGAATGCAAAGTTAATATAATGTATCATGGTTGATTATCGTAAAGAAAAATTGATATATAAGATTTATGACCTTATTTAAAAGAATCATATGAGAAGTTTGATGTGAAATTTTTTAAAGATCACACTGATCAAGATATTACTAAGATGGAGAAGTTTACGTCGAAGGTAAAAATTTTTGAATGCTTATACTTATATTATTCAAACCAAACATTTTTTGACACTTTATTATCTAAAGCAATAAGACTAAGATTTATAATATGCACTTGAATGTAAAATTTTACACCTAAAAAAAGATTATTGGCATAAGAATAATGTTGGGTACAATGGAGAAGAAACTTTGGTTGTGTTGACTGGTAAAAAGTTGATATAATTATGCCTTGAATTGTTATGAAACCACTTAACTTATGTTAATTCTAATATATTTTTCTTCCAATATAGGATGAATTCGAGAATACATTAATACAAGGGTATAAGAAGCATACTTATCAGTATAATTGGAGTAAAACTGGAAGAAGGAAGAAGATTTTCAGCATGGAAGTCGCTCGAACGAGATGGATTGTCGCTTGAGCGAATATCATTTATTCTTCTCTGGAAGTCAGTCGCTCGAGCGCAAAAAAATTCACTTGAGCGAATGTTAGCTATTCTTCTCTGGAGTTCACTCGCTCAAGCGAGCGTTTTGTCGCTTGAGCAAAAATAGAAAACTTTCGTTTGAGCGAAAGTTGATGCTTGAGCGAAAAATGCGGGGCCCAATTTTTCCTATAAAAAGATAAGATGTGTTTTGAGAAAAACAAGCGGCTTTGAGGAGAAAAGGCGCGACTACTGCTAGGGTTTCGTCCAATCTTCATCAATTCTTTACTTCTTCCTCATTTGAAGCATTATAATGGTCAACATGAGTAACTAACTTCATTCTCTTGGGATTTGATATACTTCCTTTGAACTTTTTTTTATCATGGTGATATTTTGAGATATTAATTTATGTTTTGATGTTGTTATTCTTATCATTTGTGCTTTGGAATGATTTATTTTGTATGTTTGAGATATGATTGGAAAATATATCTTGAACCCTAGATCACGGTAAGAATATTTGTTACGTTAATTGCCAGGAATGAAATGAATGTATCAATTGCTTAACACCCTAAACCTAATGCTGGAAAATCTCTTAATTGTGTGAGGAATCAACATTTCTTAGGTTTTCTTATGAATTTCATGTGTGAGGAATCAACATAGATGATTTGAATAGGTGACATCAACATTGTTAGGTTAATTGACGTTTTTAATTGACATAGTCATTACAAAAGAGGGATAAGGAAGGAAATCAATCTTAAGTACCTTTAATTGATATTTTCTCAACAATTTACAGTTCTTTGTCATTTAATTTCAATTCAACTATTATTGCAAAACCTAATTTGTTTTAATCCACTTAGTAAGCATATAATTGAGAATTTCCATTAAAACCGTTCCTTGTGGGATCGACTTTTATTTAATCGAAATACTATACTGCGATTGATAATTTTGATACGCTTTTCAATAATTCAACAAGTATTTCTATTGGTTGCCACAAAAATACTATATTAAAAAAGAGTTGTAGAGATTTCATATGAAAAATGTTAAAAATGTGAGAATTCCTCTTAGTATTTATTTTAAGGTGAGTTTTAAATAGAGCACATAAATAGGTTGATAAATTAAGTATGCAACATGTTTATTATGCATACAACACACACTTTCGATATAATAACTAGATTTCTCTCAACATCCAAATAAAAAATATTGGCATATTGTGAAATGAATGTTGAAATATTGCAATGGGA